AGACCTTAAACTGATCTAACTTTAGTAGAACTTGTTTTTCCAAAACCTTAATTCTTCAGATTAAAAAGAATCAAGCCGCACTTGGGATATTCAAGAAATTAATACATCAAATCACCACTAGTCCTATAGAGGAGCTCCTATTGACCATGAACCACTATATTCCAGCCTGAAGTCCTGAACAACTCTTAAACAGCAGATATTCAAAAGAACACAATAAATAAATATAAAAGTAAAAATAAATTTTAATTTGCCCATATTTTGAGCCTTCAGAGATCAAAAATCAAACCATAAGTTGGGTTAAAATTTGATCTGCGCTTCACCCAAAACAAAAAAAAAAAAAAAAACTTTCCGCTCCACCACCAACCAGCAATTATTCCAAAACCAAATGTCATCTAGGTCCCATTAAAAAGCTATAATCCAAACCCGTAAAAAAGTGTGTTCAGTTGTTCACAAACCAGAGAGATTAGAGACCTAACACATTCTAGCACAACAAACCAATGTATAAAAAAGCTCAAGGCGCACTGAAGCGAGAGGGGTTCTGCTGCGCTTAAGGCGCGCCTCAGTGCGCCTCTTTGAAGTGAGGCGCAGTATATGGGCAGTTAAAAATTTTTGGCTGAAGTTTGCTTCAAGTGCGCCTCAAGTGCACCTAACCCAAAACGCCTCGCCCAGACCAAATTAAGCGCTCACCCCTGATCGCCTTGCGCCTCAGCGCCTAGGCGCGCTTTTTTAAACACTGCAACAAACAACTTCCAAGATAACCCAATCAATTCATATTTTTACTACTTATATGCCACACCAGCTCTAGTCATAAGCTCATAAGTCATAACTATAGGCTAAATAAAAATTTTAAAAGGAAAAGGTAAAATAGAGTGCTTTTAATCAGGTTTCTCCCCCCTAATGTCACCATATCATACCACATGCACAGATGCACCCATCCCAACAAATGACAAATCCAATGGTTTTAAAATGAGGAAAAAAAGAGAAGTGACAACAAGGAATGGGGGTACCTGTGTATTATTTTGTTTTTTTAAAAAAAAAAATGACAATTGTTGAGCTGGGGATAAGCATACATCCCTATATACCTTCTATATTCATCTATATTTCCCACATTCCCCAAAAAAAAAATCTAGAATTTGACCAGGTAACATTTTTTAAATACTCTTGGCTCTCAGGTCTTGCATTTAAAGAAAGGAGCTAAAAGGAAACAAATAATCTAAGGAGTTGCCTCTATGGGTATCAAATTTCAAGAGAAAGTTGCAGCTTACAAGTCCTGCACGAATGTCGCCTATATACGTGAGTTGTTGTTCTTAAATGAGTTGACATGGGTCTGCTTAAGATTATCTATCAAATCTATACGACCTTCAGCTATGGCGTTAGCAGGATGCAAGGATATGCCAAATCTACACTCCATATGGCATTGAATATATTGCCTTCCCAAATTTCAGGTAAGAGAGCATGCAATTGGGCCACCCCAAAATCCAATGACTGTTATAATAAATCCACTAAGAACATAAAAAAAAATGTATCTAAGTTTTGACTAAAGAACAGTTCTATAGCACAATGCGTGTGTAATAGTTGCATCTACTCGTCACCGAGTCATAAGCTTCAAGGCATTAAGCATCATTCTACTAGTATTTTCTTTTTAAGTGCAATGAATAGAATCTCAATCAAATTGGAGAAGGAACCAAATTGAGAATGTTACCTGTCACTGGTCCTAAAAACTGTGCCAGCATTCTCCAGCAAAATCTTAAGCAACTCTAGAGCAACAATTTTACCCCTCATAAGCTGAGGGTCCGACATTGCCTCTTTGGGAGGCGTCTTCATTGACAGCTTACATAGAGCTCGAAACACCAAAAAAGCATCCCTCCTCAGCTTATTTCCAATCTGAACCTCCACATCATCATCCCTCTCCAGGATCCCAGCAGCCCCTTCCATGGTCTCCCCATCCGCCAACTCCCCTTTCCTTCCTTCCAATGCTGTCTTATACATACTAATCTCCCAATACTTAGCATCCAACATATCCTTGTCCGTAGAATCCAACAGATCAGCAGGATTCGTCCCCTCCACCGTGGCATTCACCTTCGTCTCAAATGCCCCATCGTGAACCGCCCCACCATTTCCACCACCACCCTTATCACCACCTACATTCACTGTATGCAAAACCCCATCAATGTCCTGAATTATCCTAGTAATAAACCCCTGAACCTGCTGAGTAACCCCAGGATCGGCATCCGATTTCTCAGCCGGTTCCATGAGCTCAGCAACTACAATCGGCTGAACAGGAACCGACGACGAATCAGCCTCCATTCTTCTAAAAACAATCACAAGCATCTGAATCAACGACGCTTTCGATGTCGTCTGATTCACCACATTCTTACTCCCTAAATAAATATCATAACAAGTCCTAACAATTTGCAACAAACAATCCCCATGAATCCTAAGACTAGTCGAAGTAACAGCAGAAAGCAAAGTTTTCAACACAACAAGTTCCATACTATCATCATTACTATTAACCTCAATACACTTACAAACCGAATCAATAACTCGGGAAAGCAACTTCGACTCAGGATTCGACCCAGTTGAATCTGCCTCACCTCGAAGATACCCATGTGAGATTAGCTTCTGTAAACAAGAGATTCCAGCATCTGCGATCTTAGGGTTCGAAGACGAAGCAGCGTTGATGAAAGGAGAGAGAATGAGCTCGGAATCTTCTAGAGAATACTCGTGGGTCCCACTATCGACAACCGGACCAGCTGTAGCAATGGCAGAAGACGGCGATTCAGGAGAAGAGGAGAGAGAATGGAGTTGAGAGGAATTGAGCTTCTCAAGAAGAGATTTGCACTCATGAACAAGCTTCGAGTTCTTCCGCCATGAACCATTTTTGATGATCTTCTCAAGAGAAGGCACCAGCACTTGTTTCAGCCGGGAATCGGCTTCCGAAGAAGCCATTCCCGATTAATCGTCGAGATCTGGGTGAAAATGGAGGTTGAATTTGGGAATTAGGGTTCAGTTTTCCGGCAATTGATCGGGAAAATGGTGATCGGTGGAGAGAGAAATTGGGAAATTTTTGGGGAATTTTTAGATCGAGAAATTTGAAGGATTTTGTTTGATTTTTTGTTTGTGCTAATTAGTGAGTGAGGAAGTGGCTCAGTTAAAAGTCATACCCAATTTTTTTGATGAATTTTTATTTCTAATTTTATTTTTTTGGATGAATTTGTTTTGTTTGTGAATCACTCAAAGGAAAATAATTAAAGTTACATCTCAAAATAATTAAAGATTTAAAGGGTCTTTTTTTTTCTAATCAAATTTGGGGTTTAATTCTCTCTCTTCCACATGGAATTGGGGATTTTTTAAAAGAAACAAATGAAATGATGAATCAAGAAAAACTTTAAAAATTGTGAGAATCATGCATTCTTGTTGGCATTGGATAAATGATAGCTTGGGAAGTTTGACTAATAGGTTGGAAACATGAAGTTTTGCAAACGAATAACATTTTATCTACTATTTTTAATTTCGATTGAGATAATTTAACAACTAGTAATGTGCGTTAATGTGTGTAGTGGGTATATCAAGGGTTTTGTTTGATAAATTTAGTAAAATTGATAAATATATGTTTAAAAACCTAATCCAAAGTGAACTACTAAATGCGATCGACAAGTTCTATCTATCAACACCATTAAGACCAAATTGTCCTTCTCTCACTTTCTTACTTGGCACAACTAATACTATCGAATCACCCAATGGCCACAAACATCAACACCACATTACAGCCATCGCTAGTAACCACCATCCACTATCGTGTCAACCCAACCACCACTCCCACGAACAACCCATGGAAACAAACAATAAAATTTAAACTAGCAATCATGTATGCGTTAGAGAGATAACGAGTTTCCTTTGGTTTGATTATGTGTGCGTTAAAGAGATAATGAGTAGAATGCATGAATTGTGGACAATAATAATACATAAGTGAATCCATTAAGAAGAAATGTGAGGATGTTAATACATATTGAAGCTACATTTTGGTTGCTGAAACGTACCAATACTTAGTGTGGATATGTGCGTTAGTGTATTATTGTAGCATGAAATTGTGACAACATGGTATCGGCACCCTAGTCCTGATTGTGGCCCATCAATTAGCAACAACTTATGACAAATTGGCAATATGGTATGTATCATGTATGTTTGTAACGAGCTTAACTTCAAATTTTCAAGTCTAATCAGTTTCAGACTTAGTTATTCGACTATAGCTTTTGCTTTTATGTGTGTGCTTTGAACTACTCTTAATCCAAACAAGAGGTTTTCTCTTTTTAATGTAAATTGGACATAATTTTTCAGTTAAATTTTGAATCGAACTCAACCCAAATTTAGATAATATTTAATGGATTTGGACAAGTTTTTGGACTTACGTCAAAGTAAAAAAACGTGCATTGACTGAAGTTCTTTTATGATAACATAAATATCATAATTACATGCTTTTAAAACAAAACTAGTCTGTGACCCGGGCTTTGCCCCGGGTATTGAATAATTTCATTTTTATATTAGACGTTTTAAAAGACTTATTAATTTTTTTAACGTGGGTAAATTAGAATACAATGACAACAATAATTTATTCTACATTATAATACATGTATGTATTTATATATAAATTTGGATTAATAGAGCATGAATTAATTATAGTCAAGATGGTAATACATATGGTTTCCATTCGATGAGGTTTGGGGTTCAAGTCTAAGAAGGGATACATGGCACATACACGAATTTATAAACGCCTTTTAATATATAGTATAGATTATTAATTTATTTTGATATGTTGGATAAATTACTAATTTAAATATATTGTTATTCAAACAAAATTCAGTCATAGATACATTTGTGTCAATGTATCTAATACATATTGCATACAACCCATCACATATATGAAGCTTGAACATTTGTAAAATTTTGCAATTTTTCCCAAGTTTAAAATTAACCCTATTATTGCACATTGGCCTTCTATTTTCCTGATACTTGTAAATTTTGTTAAGATTTAACCCTTAAAACACATGAAACTAACAAGGCAAAGCAAATTTTATATAAGAAATTTGGAGGCAGCATAAAAAAAAAATAAAAAAAAAGAGTACTTAATTTTCTATTATACGGTACCTACATGTAATTAACGAAAATTTGATTCTTTTTCTAGAGTTTATATAACATAAAATTCCAATTAAGGCAGGATTAAAGTTAAATAGGAAAAAAAAAATTATAACAATAATAATTACGACAAAGAGCAAATCAGTTATCCAAATTGTACTGATATTAACCCAAATTTCCTAATCTGAACCATTTCAAAACGGTTTCGGGTCAAGTACTTGATGTTAAATTGGAGTCAAATTATCTCATTTAGACATGGATGATGAAGGTGATGGATCATGCATGTGCCCATAACTTGGTGATCCATGTCTATGAAGGAACTCACGTGCCACTGCTTGTAGATCACCCCCTCCAATGTTAGAGGATGGCCCAATGTTTGGGCCTCTTTCACCTGATCCATATGAGCGTTGGTCCATTGGGCCTCGTTGTTGCTGCTGTTGTTGCTGCTGCATGGCCCATAATGGTTGAACCATTGGGTCAAATAGTGAGGATAGGTCATAAGTGGCAGGCACGGTGGATGCTGATGGAAGGTCGGCGATTGATAGTTGTGGTGGCGGCATTAGTGGTTGTGGTGGCGGAGGCGGTGGTGTTGGTACTTCTAGGTGTGCCAGATGTGCTTGTAAGTATGAGAGCTCCGCTTGTAAATTCACAACCTTGGAGTAAGAAAACATTTTTAAAAATCTTAGTACAACTTAATTAACCAACATAATTTAAACATCACCTACTCATTCTTTAGTGATATAAACGCATAGAATAATGATGCAGAGAAATTCAAGAATAATAAACCGCCACTCATATTATAAATATATTACTATTAGAACTATAGGGACTGTATTTTCTTTACCACCAAGGGTCAAGACATCGTGGCATTCAATTTCAAAGGAGCAATATATTCTCCACAAAAGAATTAATTATATTCAAGGTTTATGAAGATTGTCTATATACAAGACTAACGTGTAAGAAGATAACTCAAAAGAACATATTAAAATTGATGTAGGATAACTAATTTAGACAAGGAGTTTTGTATGTACATAGTCTACATACTATTTCTTAATATATTCAAGAGAATCTTAATATAAACTCTAGATCGAGTATGCTTCCAAGTTAATCATATGATTACATGTTTTGTTTTCAATCTCTTTCTCAGCTACTTTGCGGAAAATCTATACAAATTATCTTAACTTGAATGCATAAATACGCTAACATGGTACTTCGATCCCATAAACATATGGATCATCGATCCACTTCTTCTTGAAAACAATAAAAAGTAGCACATAGAAAAAAGCAGCATGTATGCAAATCATACAATCATAAAACCATATTATAAGCATAAAATTAATTGGAAAAAACTAGATTAGAACTATTTAGCAAATAATTTATAAACTACACATGCGTATTATTTCCTTGAGATTTTTTTTTTTAAATCATCTATATTGTGTTGAGTTTAACAACACTTATTTTTATCTTTTGTATCTTTTTATAAGTAATGGTGCATTCTTTTACCTAAACTTCACTTGTTAGACTTGATTAGCTATGATATTCATTTTATATTTACACATGATTGAAACTGATCAATCTTGATTAAAACTGATTAGCTTGGATCATGGTTTTTTAATGTGATCAAACGCATCCTAATTTGTGTATTTTTGCCACATTCAATGAGTAATTGACTCAATAGGTAGAATAAGTATATTTCATGCTTAATGGTCCCAAATCTATCAAATCTTTATAATTTTTCAAAATCAACTATTAGTATTACAAAATTATGATGGATTATTTTTATAAATTCAAGGTAACTACTTACCTTAGTGAATACTCAAGACCAGGAAAAATGAGGGAAGAAAATTTTCAGTTAGAAGTCAAAATGACACATAATGTCCCTACAAACTTAGCCATTGATGAAACATGTGGGGGATTGGTAAGCCAACATACATAAAAAATGGTGATATATAAATTAAATTAACAAGGGTAAAGTTAACTCTTTTTCTAGCAAAATCAATTTAGAAAATAAATATACATAAATCATCCTTTTTTCGAAAAGAAAATTCTTAAATCATCCTAATAAAGAAATAGAAGAAAAATAAACAAAAAAATAAATAAAGGGAAACCGACCAATTCCTTATTACCTGCTAAATTCACGTAGCACAAAAAAATTGGCTAACCAACCTTTAACACCACAATACCAGACAAATATTACTAATGCTAGCTGCAGTTTTCGATCCTCCTAACATACTATTTTTCTTTGTTTTATGGCAATCCAAATGTATCCTCAATTTCAGTAACGCAGTTGAATACTTGTTTCCCCTAACCACAATCATTATTATTCCCTCTCTCCATCCCCGGCCCCAAGTTTGTACTAAATTTTTTCCGTTATGATCTAACAATGTTACCCTCTCACTATACATATACTCGTAGTTTATAAAATGAGGCGTTTTTATAATTAAAGACAGAAGGGATTATACATATTTCTTAAGTGGTACAGTGTATAAATTTCTCTAATTGGAACAACATTGATAATTACAAAAAAAAATCTCTTTGTAGAAAGTTTAAATTAGTGGGGCAGCCAATTTGACAAGTAATATTGTTTACATATCTAAATTATGAATTTTTTGGAGGTACATGAACAATGTAGCTTAGTAGTGTTAGATTGTTATTTCCCTCTTTGGTTAAGTAATTAATTAATGACTTTCTTAATTGTCAATGTTAACTAGAACTTGTATACTACATTGAATATAATTTCAACTATAGCTAGGTTGCTTAGAAGTTACTTAGTGTAGTTTATTCTTCATTTAATAATGTCACTATATAAGACACCTTAATGCTTAATTGATATGAAATTTAATAAAATAAGATAGACCACATTATTGGTCATATCCTAGAGTGCATTTTCCCTAATAATTCAATAATGTTTACATATGCTCCAAATCTATATATAGATGTATCCTATATATAAGAGAGAATTAGATCAATTGCACTTAATTCGATTATATGTATTAGATGAAAACTGAACAAAAATGTGACCTGTATGTCACCTAAATGAACAAGGACAATGGACTCAATTTGATTATTATTCAATGAATGAAAAAAAAATAGAGATTGGTCAGTTAGCATCTTAATTAATTATGATAAATTAAATCTTGATTCGAGGAATCAATAATAAGAAAAAATTGAATTTTTTTCTAGAAAAATAGGAATGGAAATGAATCTTCTAAACATAAATTCACCATTGATTTTAATAAATTTGAACAAACTAGTCAGTCAGTTGAATGTGAATGCCACATTTTCTTTTCGTAACTGAACATTATTATATGCAATAGACAACTGTTATTTTTATCCGTTTCAATTCAATTACACAAGAAAATGATGCAATTAAACAGATTACTACTTATACCTCACGAGACTTTACCATCTAAACGGATCATTAATTAATACAAGTTTGTACACAAATCAAATGCTCATACATTAAATGTAATTCAAAAGTGATATAGCTTCATGATGAAAATGAGTTTTGAACAACCCATCAAAAACAAGGACAAAGCCACCAAGACACAACCACACCATAATTCATCAAAAAACCAACTTGAATTTCAACCAATTTAGATTGAAAAATAAAAATTCCACAAAGTTTAAATTTCGGGGATATAATTAATAATTAATTAATAAAATCGTACCTGTTGTTGAAGAGCAAAGATATGAGCAACACAACCATAGACGGGGTCACGAAGCCTAGCTTGAGCCTCATAACAAATAGTAACAACAGCATCAAGCCTCTTATGAACAGGAATATGTAACAACAATTTTGACACATTACTTGCTCCAAACACCTTGTGCACCGCTGCAAAATGAGCAGCCCCTTGTTCGGAATCGAAATACGGGGCGAATATGCACCCTACCACACATTTCCTACGCAAGAATTTGCAAGCACCACACGGTCCGCCACCACCTCCTCCACCACTCCCTCCTCCTCCTCCCCCTCCGCTACTACTACTCCCAGGGTTTGCACAACTCATTGTAACGATCACTTCAATTCAATTCAATTCAGTTCAAATCAGTATCAAAGCAATTTTTTTTTTTAACTAGGGTTCTTACATAATTTTTTTTTTTTGGTGGTGAAAGAATTAAGAAGAGGGTTGATATAAAGAGAAGAAGAAGAAGGGTGTATGTAAAAGTAGGTGAGTGTTTTATTGGGTTGGTTGTTTTTTTAGGGATGAATGATGTTTTTTTTTTCTCACTAAATTTTTTGTAAATATTTTTTTTTTGGGGTTGAGAGAAATGAAATGTTTAAGTAGAAGAAGAAGAAGAAGAAGAAGAAGAGGAAGGAGGAGGACAAATCTTTAAAGCCACGCGAAAAAGCAAAGTCACATTTTAGCTGCTTACGTGAAGCAAACATGAGATAAGTCTTAGCTTAGTTTAACCCAAAGCACCGCACTTACACTACATGCTTTTTTTTATTAATTTTTTTTTTGGTTTTCTCTCTTATTTTAAGTTTAAGTCTCTCTCAAAGTCCCTTTTCTTTATAATTGCACCTTCTTAAACTCGTGGTGATTTTTATTTATGTTGCATATGTGTGATACATGAGGTATTTCTGTTATTGTAAGTCTGTAATACCATGTGACAGTGTTATTGGGTTGGTTGTTTATAATTGGTTTTAACTTACGAGATTTTTTTTTTTAATTTTTCAGTTTCTATCAGTTGAGCTGAGATCTACACAATTATGTCATTTTCAATATATGTTGTATTATGTATGGCTCTATTTGGTAATCCATTAATTGTTAGGCTACATTTAATTTTAATGTATTTGAATAATTAGTGTTGTTTGGCATGAATGTATCTTGAAATTTTTTTAGAAATTTACTAATGACTTAATTGAGAAGCTTTTGAAAACATGGAGCTACATTGTTCTTTTTGGATCACCCTCTTCAATATATCTTTAATTATTTCAATATGTTTAGTGACTTAAATAATACTTTTTCTTTCAAAAAATTTAACGGAGTACTTGAATTTGTTGGATTTTTTCGCTTACTAATGTATAAATATTAAAGAATGAAAAAACACGGTTTTACTGTACAAACAGCTCATACAATTAGCTAACTTCTCAATTTCAGTAGCCAACTTTTACTATTTCATGTAACTTGCTAGTTTCATCTCTTTATAACTAATTTCGTCAAAGAGAGCATGTAACAGTTATAGGAAATGTTCTATGATGTCATGTAGTAAACCTTTAGCTTTTAAATTTTATTGTTTATTTTAGACCATAGTTTGTTAGCAAAGACTAGCAAAGGCTGTTACTACTATTCATTCACATTTATTTGTTTCATTTTTTCCCTTTTTATTCAATGGTTTTTCAAAGAAAAGTATGGAATAGGGAGAATGTGGAACGTGTCCTTTAGGGTCAATCTAAACTTGCCTCCCTTAGCTGCGTGTTTGAAGCTGCGTAGAGGGCAAAATATGCAAAATCATCTCTTAACTAAGATTATAATCTTTGATCTCTCTATTTTGTTGAAAAGGACTCATCTTTTGCTTAATTTATGGATTCTAAGTTTGTGTAATTAGAAAGATTACTATTCATTCATTAAAAGTTTATAACTGAAAAGCTTCTTGCCAATAGAAGATACATTTGTTGAATGTTGATTGTTGATTGTCGATTGTCGGTTGTCCGGTTCATATTTTAGTGTATTTATTGGTGGTATTGCCAGGCGCCCACAGATTATATTAGACATAAATTACCCGTTATTCTTAATAGTGGTTTTCATTTTGGTATGAACTACTTTATGTTTGACATTAGAAAAACATACATAGTAACAAAATAGTTTACAAATTGTGTGATCAATGACTTTACTTTGATTAGTGTTCTCCCCCCCCCCCCCCCCAAGTAGTAGCTACTTTTTAATTAATGTTTACACATGTTATAAAATTACAACTAATTAATTTAATTATACATTTCCTTTTTATCTGTCCTAATTTAGTTGAATTTTAATTTAACAAAGGCCATTATCATTTTATTACTTCTTCCCTCTACCCTTGGCCCAACACTCATCTCTCTTCTCATCTAGCTTTTTTATTAAGATAATTCTTCGTAAATGATAACCATGCAAACACCAATCTTCTAACACAGGTGTTTTAATTGATAGGTAGGCAAATTAAATTAGGACAGAGAGGGTATAAACAAATTTTTGTGCCTAATATAGTTCTATCACCAAATACTTAATTAATTTTTGTAAGCACTACAAAATTTAATTTTATTGAAACAATACCCCCATCATATACAATTTTCTACCAACAATAATGATTTAGAATTTTGCTCCGAGAATATATAATTCAGGTTGCAACACATAGAGCGTTCAAGCACGCGTCAATCACATACATTTATGCTCGCAAAATGACATATTCCGTGTTGCTAAATAATCTAAACGTGATTTAGGCTCTATGTCATCCGTAATAAGTGCACATTGCACATACATGAAAGTGATAAAATGCTGTTTGTCACTTAAAATTCTTGTATCTTACCATAAAAAGAAGCGACAAATATCATTCAAACTAGAGTAGTATGTAATGAAATTTGCACATTCAAGTATTCAACAGAACACCCAAAACATTTAAGAGTATCGTACTAATTAGGTGACGTCGTCTTAATTTGTCGAGATAATAAGTAAATTCCTCAATTCCAATTCCTATGAGGTGTATGGAACGTTAGTTACATGCATATGCATGTTTGTTGCACACTTGCACATATTACCCTATGACTATTGGCTAAATGTCTTAAGAAATGAATTGATGGTGTGTATCCAATTTTTGGTTTCATATTCATTTTTAATTCTTAATTGCTCATACAATGATCAACCAGGGACATGATATTTACTAATCAATAGGGAGTAACTCTTTTTAGTTGATTGTATAGGCGATGCTATGAGTTGTTTTGCATGTCGTGTGTTTTGCCAAGATTTAATAAGGACAACTATTTTGCTAAGAAATCGTGTGTCGTATATAACTACAATTTATTTTATTTTTTTTTAAAAAAAAAAATCCTCATTTTTTACAGTCATGAACTTTTCTGATTTGATCTGAGTGCTCCGACCTTTAAATTTGACTAAACTTCGACATAATTTGTACATCACTCCTTAAGATAAAAATTATTATTACATTATATTTGTGTATTAATAATGACGTGTATTTTTAAAATATGAAATTTGCAAAAGTATTTTAAATACAAAGTTAAAGATCGATATTTAGCGATATGTGAACGAAAATAAAAAAAAAAATCCGATCAAGCATATGAGCTAAGCTGAATTTAACCTAGCCTAATAATACCGATCAAGCGATCATATATACTTAATTATATGGTTATATTATTAAGTGAAGTTATACATTAATTACCCTAGAATAAGGTTAATCTTGATTAGGATAGATAGATTTTTTTGACAAACATTTATAGGTTAGGGCAAACAACATGGTGATGTATAGTAGTAGAGGAGTAGGCGTAGTACCACGTAAACAGAATGTAGGCAGAAGAAGAAAGTACCATTGTACCAAGTATGGTCTATGGTCTATGGACTATGCTGGTTATTCCGATGCTTGTCCAAACCGTGTGGTGGGTAAATGAACCAATATGTTCAATATTAAGTTTTCATACTTGACTGCCGCGTATCTTAGACTATATTTTTTAAAAATAAAATTATATATTTTATTATTCCATAATTAGTAGCTTACTTTGTTATAAATATGATTTTTTTTCATACAACTAATATTAGTAAGTCATTTCCCTTCAAAAAAAATAATAATAATAGTAAGTCATTTATCATTTGGGTTAATTCTACATTATTTTTTTTTATTTTTTTATTTTAATCCTTAGCTTATAGAGGTCATATGACTAGTTATTAATTGCTCTGATATCATGACAATATTTAAGGAAATCATTTTCCTTTCCATGGATTGATTATCGCGTGAGTGTATATACAAACTATATGTTAAATCACACTAAAAACCTAAGCTTATATACTAAGAATATGACTTTGATCTAATGATATCCCATATACATCAATGCATCGTAGATCAATAATCCCAATACTATTATTTGTGATATGGATTATAAAATTATTGATCCATTTTTTATATGGATTATATATATATATATATAGAAATGACTTTTTTTTTTTGTACATAAATTGATAGAATTAAGTCAGAATAAATTGAATTAACCATATCTTAAGTAATACTCCGTACATTTTGCCACCTTAATTATTACGAACTTTATTAATTGAATATTGAATTTCGATAAAGCTGGTAACATAATGCTAATTAATTAGGTATACGATGGTAGTTAGATAGGTTATATCGAATATGTTTAGGATTAATAGAATATGGATCAAACGCCTAATTATATTTTTTTTTACCTAAATTAGGATTTGAAACTTCTACAAATCTTATTATTCGTTTTTACGATACATGAAATGTGACCGTCTCTCAACCAAATGATATAATGCGTGACTAATGTAAACTAGCTAGATATTACGTATTTGAGTAGTTGAAATCCCCTCAACTCCCACATTTGAAGATCTCTATATTTGCTTGATTCATCCGCCACTTATTCTTCTAGAGTTAAATTAGAAATAGTAACACTACTTATGAGTTATAATAACGAGTAAAAATAAAATAAGTGCGAGTGTGCGACAATTATTTCACTAGAAAAACGCTTGTTTAGACTTGCTTATATATGTTTAAATCAGTGGATAGTTTAAATGTAAACATGTTGTACTAGCCTTGTATAGACCTGCTTATATAATTTTAAGATGGATTAAAGAACAAAGTGATTGTTGATTCATGAATTCATACTAGGTCCAAATATGCATGGTATCGTAGTTTAGACAATATAACAATAGAAAAGTGAGTTTTAAATAATTTATTGAGCGTTGAGATTTAAGTTACATAAATTTCATTCAATTTCATCATCATAATTAAAAATTGTCTTACAAAAATAAGTAATATAAACAAGATTCAAGTTAAATTTCATTAACATTGGTAGACATATACTATGGATATACATTTTTTTATCCTCTTCATCACATGTATGAAGTATTAGATTTATAAAATTTTAATGTTCGTATCACTGTTCACACGATCATCTATCTCATATTTAAATTGTTCTTCATTAATTGATCGAACTTTTTCTTTGACTAAATAAACTAATTGGACAACGATGCTCAATCATAATACTATAGTCTATAGTATGATATATGTATATTTATGACCACTCGTGCGTAGTCAAAAACCTAGGAAACACAATTTCCTTATTCTAAGACGTTTGCTTGCTAGTAGCTAGTAATATGCAACTATGATATGTAATCATGCAACAATATATTTGGACTTTAAAACATTACATTTTTATATTATTATAAATAGATACTACCTTGGATTATTATTGCTAATCATATCACTAAGCTTAGTATGTTAACAACAAGATGTCACCTTGTGACACGACAAGGGGGGCTCTTTGTTATGTTTAATTAGCGAAAATGTGGGGTTTAACAAGTAAGCAAAAAAATTCTACTATAAAGTTGTAATTAATTAATTAAACTTGATTTATATAAAAGTGTAAAGAAGCTAGTCAAAGATCGATATCAGCTTTTGGACCAACCTATCATGAAAGCCTATTGGTATACCTACTTTTTGAGTTTATAATCCAAAAGTTTATACGTTGGTCATTCTTTCTACTATAGCTTAGTAGCTTACTATTTGGTGTTGAGTAGCATGTAGTAGAGGGAGGATGAAAAATATCCTTTATTTGGTGTGAAAATTCTTTTCCTATTCATTGTCGGAAATTATAAAATCTAATTATACTTAATTAAGAATAAATGAATACGTACTACTAATTTAATATACTTATAATATTGCACTTAGTACTTCGCATATAACTATTCGGTGCTAAGAACGTTCATGTAAATGTTAAATAG